ATAAATAAACGTTGAAAAAAAAAATTTTTTTTTAAAAGAAACAAGAAAAATATCAAATAAACAATCTAACTTTACATTTAAAGGAACTAGAAAACGAAGCCCAAAGTTAATAGAAGGAAGGAAATAATACCGATCAGAGTGATAGTGGGGGAATGAAATACATCCACACGTGTGTGAAAAGTTTAATGAAACTAAGAGCTAGTTCTTTGAAAAGATAAACAAAATCAACAAACCTTTAGCCAGACTCCTCAAGAAAAAATAGAGGATGGCCCAAATAAATAAAATCAGAAATGAAAAAGAAGAAATTACAACCTATACCACAGAAATACTAGGGATCATAAGTAAATACTGTGTACAGTTATATGCTGACAGATTAGTCTAGAAGAAATGGATAAATTCCTGGAAACATGGAGTCTTCTAAGATTGAATCATGAAGATACAGAAAATCTGAATAGACCAATTATTAAAATGAAATTTGAATCAGTAATCAAAACACTACAAACAAAAGTCCAAGTGCAGATGGCTTCACAGGTGAATTCTACCAAACATTTAAACTATCCCAGAAATTATAATGAAAAATTGAAGATGAAAAAATACTTCCAAATTTATTTTACAAGGCCAGCATTACTCTGATACCAAAACCAGACAAAGACACCATCATAAAAAAGAAAATTACAGGCCAACACCCCTAATAAACACAGATGCCAAAATTATCAGCAAAATATTAGCAAACTGAACTCATCAAAAACATTGAAAGAGATCATACACTGGAAGCAAATGGAATTGATTCCAGGGATATAAAGATGGTTTAACATCTGCAAATCAGTCAACATGATACAACACATTAATAAAATGAAGAATAAAAATTATATAATCTCAGGGCGCCTGGATGGCTCAGTCAGTTAAACGTCCACCTCTTGATTTCGGCTCAGGTCATGATCTCATGATTCGTGGGAGTGAGCCTCACACTGGGCTCTGCACTCACAGCACAGACCTTGCTTGGGTTTCTCTTTCTGCTCTTCCCCTGCTTGTGCTAGCACTCTCTCTCTCTCAGAATAAATAAAATGAACATTAAAAATATATATTATCATCTCAATAGGTACAGCAAAAATATTTGACAAAATTCAATGTCCATTTATGATAAAAGCTCTCTAGTGGGTAGGGAGGGCCTGCACTCAATAAAGGTCATTTATGACAGACAAACAGCTAACATACTCAGTGGATGAAAAGATGCAAAGTTTTTCTCTAAGATCAGAAACGAGACAAGGATTCCCACTCTTGACAGTTTTATCCAACGTAGTATTCAAAATCCTAGCCACAGCCATTAGACAAGAAAAAGAAATAAAAACATACAAATTGGAAAAGAAGAAGTAAAGCTGTTACTATTTGCAGGCAACATGATACCATATACAGAAAACCTTAAAGAGTCCACCAAAAACCTATTGGAGCTAATAAATGAATTCAGTAAAGTTATAGGATACAAAATTAATACACAGAAATTTGTTGCATTTCTGCATACTAATAATGAATTGTTGGAAAGAGAAATTAAGACAATCTCAATTACACTTGCATCAAAAACAGTAAAATACCTAGAAATTAATTTAACCAAGAAAGTGCAAGACCTATACTCTGAAAACTATAAAACACTGATGAAAGAAATTGAAGATAACATAAATAAATGAAAAGATATGCTGTACTTTTGGGTTGGTAGAGTTAATGTTTTTCCACAGAAGTGGAACAACTCCTAATATATGCACAGAACCACAAAAGACCCAAAACAGCCAAAGCAGGCTTGGGAAAGAAGAACAAAGTTTGAGGTATCATGCTCTGAAATTTGAAACTGTACTGAAAAGCTATAGTAATCAAAACAATATGGCACTTGCGCCAAAACAGACACATAGATCAGTGGAACAGAATGGAGAGCCCAGAAATAAACCCACACCTATGAGGTCAAGTAACTTATGACAAATGAGGCAAGAACATACAATGGGGAGACAACCATCTTTTCAATAAGTGGTGTTAGGAAAATTGGACAGCTACATGCAAAAGAATGAAATTGTGGACTGCTTTCTTACACCATGCACAAAAATAAACTCAAAATGGATTAAGACCTGAAACCTTAAAACTCCTAGACAAAGCAAAGGCAGTAAGACATTATTCTTAGCAATGTTTTTTTGGATACGTCTCCTCAAGCACTGGTATCAAAACCAGAAATAAACAACTGGGACCACATCAGCTAAAAAGCTTTTGCAGGGTGAAGAAAACCATTAACAAAATGAAAATGCAGCCTACTGAATGCAAGAAGATGATTGCAAACCATACATCTGATAAGGAGTTGATATCCAAAATACATCAACAACCATGTCACAAATCATAACAACAACAGCAAAACAACCCAGTTAAAAAACCGACAGAGGACTTGAATAGATATTTTTCCAAAGACAGCATACAGATGGCCAAAAAGCACATGAAAACATGCTGAACATCACTAATCATCACAGATATGTAAATCAAAAGCAGTGAGGTGCTACCTCATACCAGTCAGAATGGCTATTATCAAAAAGACAAGAAATAACACGTGTTGCTGAGGATGTGAGGAAAAGGAAACCCTTGTGCGCTCTTGGTAGGAATGTAAATTAGTGCAGCCACTATGGAAACAATTTGGAGGTTCCTCAAAAAATTATAAATAGAATTACTATGTGATCTAGAAATTCCACTTCTGGGTATTTGAAGAAAACGAAAAGAACAGTTCAAAAAGCTGTACTACCTTTATGCTTATTTACAATAGCCAGGACATAGATGTAACCCAAGTGTCCATCAATAGATAATAAATGGACAGAGAAGCTGTGGTGTGTGTGTGTGTGTGTATGTGTGTGTACACAGTGGAATATTACTGGAGTATTACACACACTGTAATATTACTCAGCTACAAAAAGAATGAAATCTTGCCATTTGTGACAACATGGTTGGACTTCGAGGATATCATGCTAAGTGAAATAAGTCAGAGAAAAGCAAACACTGTATGATTTGACTTATATGGGAAATCTAAAAAAACCAAAATGAACAAACAAAACAGAAACAGACTCATAGATAAAAAAGAACAAACTGGTGGTTGGGAGAGGGAACCGACAAAATAGGTGAAGGGAATTAAGAGGTAAAGAATTATAAAATAAGTCTCATGTCGTATACAGCACAGGAGATATAGTCAGTAATATCGTAATGATTTTGTATGGTGACAGATGGTATCTAGACCTATTATGGTGATCGTTTTGCGATATATAAAAATATCAGGGTACCTGTGTGGCTCAGTCTGACTCTTGACTTTGGCTCAGGTCGTGATCTCACAGTTGGTGGGTTTGAGCCCGTGTTGGGCCCTGTTTATTAAAAGAGGACTGGAGCACTTGGATGCCTCAGTCGGTTAAGCATCTGACTCTGATTTCAGCTCAGGTCATGATCTCATGGTTTGTGAGATTGATCCCTGCATTGGGCTCTGTGCTGACAGTGGGGAAGCTGCTCCGGATTCTCTCTCTGCCTCTATCTCTGCGCCTCCTGCACTCACTCTTCCTCTCTCTCTTCTCTCAGAATAAATAAACATAAAAAAATAAAATAAAAATATCAAATCACTATCTTATTCACCTGAAACTAATATAATATAATATCTCAAGTATAATTTAATAAAATAAATGAGACCACACTAAGTTACCATTTCACACCCACTAAAATAATTAAAATTAAAAAGATTGACCATAAGTGTTGGTGAGGTTGTAGAACAACCGGAATTCTCATTCACTGCTAATAAGAATGGTGGAACCACTTTGGAAAATCCTTTGTTCGTTTCTTTAAAATTTAAACACGCTGTTGGGGCGCCTGGGTGGCTCAGTCAGTTGGGCGTCCAACTTCGGCTCAGGTCATGATCTCGTGGTCTGTGAGTTCAAGCCCCGCATCGGGCTCTGGGCTGACAGCTCAGAGCCTGGAGCCTGTTTCGGATTCTGTGTCTCCCTCTCTCTCTGACCCTCGCCTGCTCATGCTCTGTCTCTCTCTGTCTCAAAAATAAATAGATGTTAAAAAAAAAAAAAATTTAAACACGCCGTTGCCTTATGGTCCACTTACTCCTAGGTATTTACCCAAGAGAAGTGAAAGCTTATATTCCTATGTATACTTGGACAAGAATGTTCATAGCATTTTTATTTCTGACAGAAACTGGAAACAGCTCGGATGTCCGTCAGTAGGCGAAGGCATCAACGAACTGTGGTCCAGAATGTTGCTAAGCAGATAGAAGTCTTATGAAATGTTTCTCCCCTGCCCCATGTGGACCGCCATCCTTTTAGCTTTTGGCTTTCTGTAACCGTTTTCTTGCTGCCCACTGTTCAGCTCCTAAGCCCGTGTCACGTATTTATGGTTTGGTTATGTCTTTGGTATTTCTCTTGCTGATTTCTGTTTCAATCAGAATGGACCAGTTACGCTGTGATAATAAATAGTCCTAAATCCCAGTGGCTTAAAGTAAAGGTTGGTTTCTTTGTCGTGAACTGCGTGTCCATTTTGGTGCAGCTAAGAGTTCTATTCCCTGCCGAGGGAGGAGCCCTCCTCCGAGACATTGCTGGTTGCTGTGAATGTTGACTTAATGTAAAGTTTTGATTCGTAGGAGTTAAGACAGATTTTCAAGCTAGACTGCTTTTTTGTCCCATCATCATTAGTTGACTTTTATCTTATTGTAGGGTGCATTAAAATCTTTGATGACATCAGTAACTGTAACTTTTAATCCACAGCACAAAAAATTAAAATACTTCTCAACTTGTATTTACCTGGTAAATGCTATTTTTAGTCTTTTATTCCTGTGTGTTGGACAAAGAACCAAGATCCAGAGAGAGTAAACGAATTGGCACTTGCTACACAGCAGTGAAGCTGAACTAGAACCCAGGGTTTCCATTTTAATATTTTTGTGTAAATTGGAGCAAAATAAACGTACTGTCTACTTACACGTTTTTAATTTGACAGTCTCTTCAGCAGGCCGCATTTAAGAGAGGTCTCGTACACCTTTTGCCGGTGGCTGGAGCACGATGGATCCCCCAGGGGCACTGGACGCGGAGGATGAAGTGGGGCCGTTAGCCCATCTTGCCCCAAGTCCTCAAAGCGAAGCTGTTGCCCATGAATTCCAGGAGCTGTCCCTGCAGCCCAGCCAGCACCTGCCCCCGCTGAACGAGAGGAAGAATGGTGAGCTCTTCAGCATGTGTGGTGGGAGCTGGATTTAAAGATTCACCCCTTCATGAGTCCAATTGATTCCTGTTTGGTAGTAATTTTTCTTTTTCTTTTTCTTTTTCTTTTTCTTTTTTCTTTTCTTTTCTTTTTTTTTTTTTTTTTTTTTTTTTTTTTTTTTTTTTTTTTTTTTTTTTTTTTTTTTTTTTTTTGTCAGTTACCCTGGGCAGGCTGTCATGGCGGGGAGAGCCTTGTGGGTTATTGGCTGGTTTTGAGTAACAGGCAGAATTTCACTTTCCATCCAGTTCTTTCATTTATTTCCCCAATAAGTATCTGGTAGCAGTATTCTCCTTGGAAACAAGCTTTAGATTCAACTATTTTAGTACCAGCAGATTTCATGCTAGAAGATACTGGAGAATAGCTTCCTGCACTGATCCTAGGGAAGGTTGACTGTGGATTTGACTAGATTCTCCTCCCATTTTTCCCGTCTCCAGTGTGTTGCACCTTAATTTCAAGATTGATAAAATTTAAGCTATCTTAATGATTACTAAGAAAGCAAGAATTTTTTGTTGGAGTGTTTTTCTATTAATCGTTACAGGATATGACCATATTGTCATTCTCTGCCTATCGTTGTATACAAAATGAGTATTTTCTGTCCATTTGGTATCTGTTCAGGAAATTTTCATTGATCACAAAGGCTTCCCATCCTCTCTGGAAAACATAATACTGTCCATTTTTAATGTAAATGAGTAAGGATAGATGATAGACACTTATTTTTAATACTTAAAACATAAAAACTAACAAAATGTTAAAATTTATAAACACATCAAGCACTTATATTAAAAGGGCCACATTAAGAATTACAGCTGAATTTCTTATGCTTTCCACCGTTCTGAGTTTTACATTTACAAATAATAGTTTTTAAAAATTGTAGATTTAAAAACCTGAGGAAATAAAACCGTTCCCTTGTAAAACACTTCCTTTTGTACCTGGTTACTGTTTTTCTGGGTTCTGAGTCCTAACCAGGCCTTTTCATTATTGGCCTCACCTTCTTCAGGAAAGTGGAGAAAAGATGTATGTTATGATTCTTAGTTCTTTAGTACATGTGTTTGGAGTGTATTTGTTCTCCCTTCAAATAAGCCTTCTGGTACTTGTTCTTGGGCATAACCCTTGTCCGCTGTGAGTGGTGAAAAGCAGCATTCTGGCTCAGGTGCTGTCAGGCCCTTCAGGAGGCTGTCGTTCAGCAGTGGCTTTAGAATCTTCCATTTTTCTCAGACAGTGGCTTGGAGAGTATGACCACATTTACTGAAGCATGACCAAATGCGATCAGGTTCACACTGCACATTTGGGCCTGTATAGTGTTCAGATTCTTATCCTCAAAAAATGAGTTGCACTTGTATGAAATTGCAATAACACACAATTAGTCAGGAAAATGGTAGGGAAATGTATCGGGCAAATCTGTACTTCGTGATCGGCTTGACACAGTGCACCACGTTCTCTTGCAAGAATGTTGCCTTGAATATGTATGCCTGAATGTAAGCTAAGCCCAAATATTAAGTAGCCTCCCCTTCTAAACTTTTGGGAAGTGGAGTAAATGGTAAGAATTTTAATTTTTTAATTTAGTTACATGTCCATAATTAAAATCACATTTTTATGATGCAGTGCAATAATATAGAAGGATTCCTTCATTCACACTAATATTTCATAGAACCATCTGGCTCACATTCTATCCATGAATCTTTGGGGGAAATGCTTTTTTTTTTCTCATCATCAGCAGAACCCCTTGGCATCATGCACGTAGTGCTAAAATCCACGGTGCGTCTTCACTACTGTCTCTTTCGTCTGAGTTACAGCAGCTTGTGAGTATATGTATGACCTGATACCACAGATTTTCTGTCTAAACCACAAGTACCATTGACAGAATGGTGTGTGTGTGTGTGGTGTATTGTCATATACTCATAATCTCTATAGCATAATCACTCTTGTGATTTGTGATTGGTTATAACATTTTATGGGGCTGCAGTTCCTGTTTTAGAATGTAATTATCTGTTTTCTGTGAGTACGTAATGTATTCACTGGCTTAAAATGTACAGGGTACCAATGGGTACACAGTGAAAAGAAAGTCACTTCCCAGTCTTTCCCCTCAGCTACATGATTCCTTTCCTGGAGTTCACTATTGTCATTTGTATCCTTTCTGACAGAATTGTATTTGACTACTTTTTTAAAATGAGTTTTTGAAACTGTTCTTTGCAATGACACTTAGTACTTCCGATTTTAAGGTTATAACCTAGGAATAATTAATCTGTTGGCCTTCTCCGCCCCCTCCCCCCCGTTTATGATTCTACTAAGATATTTTTATAAACATCCTAAAACTAGCTTTAAATGAAGTTAATTTTTAAGCAAATGTTTTCCTCAAGTACTTTTTTTGTTCAATATTGAGTAAATGAAAGAATATCTTATGAAATGCTATGTAAAGACTCAAGTAGCAGACAGTCTCTTCTTTTTTTTTTTTAATATGAAATTTATTGTCAAATTGGTTTCCATACAAAACCCAGTGCTCATCCCAATAGGTGCCCTCCTCAGTGCCCATCACCCACTTTCCCCTCCTTCCCACCCCCCCCCCCGATCTCTTCTTTTTTAATAAATGACTTCAGGCAGTTAAAAAGCTTACCTTATATTCAGGCATATACTCTAATGTCAGGCTTATGATATATTAGCTTGATTTACATATATATTCCAAGGCATACATGGAATCCTTTGTATAGCTATCAGAAATCTACATTTTTGATAGTTATATGAGTCAAGTGGAATCACATCAAGCAATTATGGAATTAGAAGAAGCGTAACTTTCTTACCCTACTGAATTTTTCATGTTTATGCTTCATTTTTAAGTCTTCTTAATGCCCTGTTTAGATTATATCATATACAAAATGTGAATCTTAGCCTCGAAATTAATTAATACAAAAAACTCTTTAGAGTATTATGAAATAGTCCGATTTAGGTATTTTCTTGTGATTGTGTTTCATTGTTAGCCCTAAGCATTTGAATTTCACTTGTTTGAATTATTTCCCTTTCTAGTTGGGGGGAAAATGAAGACACTTCAATTTGGATCAGTGTGTAGAAGGATCATGTCACCAAATAGTTTATAAATAAACTTAATGAGAGAGAAGTTGACATCTACGTAATGACTCCAGGATCCTCCCTTAGTTTTGACTGATACTTATGTTGGCATTGTAGTGGCAGAGCAGAACATTCATTCCTACTCCTGTAGCACATGTGAAAGATAAGCTGGGGCTGTTCTTTACCCCTGAACGTGTGGCCGGTGGCACCTCCAAAGTAAGGCCACCAATTAGGCCATTAATTCTTCCCAAGAAGTGAGTTCTTCCTAAAAGAAATGTGGGTATACAGAACACATAAATGACAGACTTTTACTGAAACAGCGCACACACAGAGAACTTGAGCTTTGTTTTGATGTTTTACACAGTATTAACGTTCCTTCAGATGGTAAACACTGGCAGTAAAGGGGAAATCAGTCCGAGGGACAGTTAGTTGTTTTTTATTGTTCACGTGGGAAAAGCTCAGATGCTGTAAGTTGAATACAGCTTCGTAAAGGCAGGGAAAGGCGAAGTAGATGGAACCGACACGCCTCCAAGAGCTCCAGCCCTCTGTGTTGTGCCCGCACTAGGGGAGACCACAGCAGGAAGGCTTTGGTTCCCGAGGTCATTTGCAAGACCGAGAAGTGTGCTGGTTGGTGAATGTAAGCTTTTGAGTCACTCCCAGCATTGACAATAAAGCAGATAAATTGACATAGATTCCCGTTTTGCACAGCAGTTTGGTATTTTAACACTTGGGACAGCTCTGAAAATGAGGCACAGTCCAGTCGTGTTCACATGGCCACAGGTAACGCCCCAGGCCGGCTGTCAGTAGTATGGAGTAGGTGGAAAAATAGTGTCTGCTACTTTCTCTTCCGTTTATTAGCAGACTTTTTGAAACTGTATTTACTTGGGAACAGCGTGTTTTAGGCCTCAGTGAAGAAGAGACTTTGTCATTCTTATTTTAAACTTTGACGCTTCTAGTTACCGTACTCGTTGGGTTTTTGATTTCATGGTCCCGTTTTGAATTTTTTTCCCTAAGATTTTCCATCCATTAAATTTATCACAATGGACGGTTTTAGACCATCTCTTGTTCTGCTCTTGAATGATTATACTAAAGAGAAAAGAGTTCATTCAAAAGTTTGTTGCACACGAGGGAACACAAGGTATTTCTTTGCATTAGATTCAATACAGGTATCAATACATTTGCACACAGATAACTTTGCCTTGCCATGGAACTCGGCTAAAGAAAATTGCTTGCCTTGTACTATAGAAAATAAATGGTATTTGTTCAAAGCTGATCTTTTCTTCATGCAACATTTCCTCATTCCTCATTAACCTGTTAGGTTTACTGTCACTCTAGGTGTTTGGAAATGCACAAAGGTGGTAAGCATTTGTCTGGACCAGAACCCTGTTCCTTAAGAGTATACATGAGATGGGGTGGCCATCTGGAGATTGGTGAGGAAAAGGGAGAATATTTCTATTTTTCTCTGGAGCAGACAGCCAGACATAAGATTCTCAGAGTGTCATAAGTGGGAAGGAAATAAATAGATGCTAAATAACCAAAACATGTAACTCTAGGATTCTTGCTTTCCCTTTCTTTAACTGGAGGTAATCGAAACAAGTAAGATTCTGTAAAATTCTCTTGTCCTTGGCTTTACTGTTAACATCTTTAGGACCTTAAATATTTAAAATTTTCAGTGATATTAATAAACAGTCTGATACATTTAGATAATTTCCTTTTCTGCTTTGGATGTTACTTAAGAGTATTTAGACTGAGAACAGAAATAGGTATAATTTCCTTAATTAATTTTCCTTAGTTTCTAATAGATTTCTGAGATTAGCCTTTACAGGTAAATGCTTAACACAGTTATAAAGTTTAAAAGCCAATTGTGAGCCCCCTGACCACTGTAAAAGAAATTCTTG